GTTTATTAACATTTTGGATTGACCAAGAGCACTGTAGTTGTTGTTGTTCAATAATGAAATTCATCCTCAAAAATACAACTTGCCTAATAATTGTGCACGCAGTGTACATGACTGGGCGGCTCACAGTTAGAACATTATAAAAACAGTAAAAAAACAACCGAAGTTAAAAATAGTAGCCGAGAAGACTCACAACCACTCAAAATAGCCATGACACAGATTCACCCATGCTATCAGGGCGCTGGGCTCGATGGCAAAGCCAGGTTTTTACTGCCATGTGAAAGGCCAGCAGGGTTGGGGCAAGTCTAATTTCTGCACCACAGCAGAAAAGGCTCTCCTCCTGGGCCCCGACAGTTAACACTCTCTTGCAGATGGGACCTGGAGCATGTCTCTTCTGCCAGATCTCACAGGATGAGTAGATACCATTGAAGAGAGACAGTCCTGTAAGTAACTGGCCCCAAGCCATGAAAGGCTTTAAAGATAACACCAGCACCTTGAATTGCACCCAGAAGCATACTGGTAGCCAGTGCAGCTCATGGAGCAGAGGTGTTGCATGTGCTGAACAATTGGCACCCTTAACTGCCTGTGTCACCACATTTTGCACCAGCTGAAGCCTCCAAATACTCTTCTTTATATGTAGCTCTATATAACATGCATTGCAATAATCCATTTGGGATTTGAAGTATTAGTGTTACTCTTGATAGAGAACTTAATATAATGGGAATGCATCTCATATTATGAATTTGCCTGGACTGTAAGATCTCTAGGAGAAATCCTTGTCTTGGTTCCTCTCTTCACAGCAGCCCTTCTTTTGGGTATGTGAGATACGTTCTTCTCCCTACATTGCTCATAGTCTATAAGAAGTGCTTTCTTGATAATTGCATTTAATTCCTCACTCTGTTTAGGAAATCTGCCAATGTAGAGCTATAAAGAACTGTTTTGCTATAATTTCAATGGTTAATAATTTTATTATTGAAGCTTTGCTTATTTTTATGTTTTTTAAAATTTTGAATGTATATATATGTTCTAAAGGGTACATAGCCCCAAATGTTCATTTTAAACAAAAAGGTGGCACTAATCAAATAAATTAATTTTACAGGGAGGTTTCAAAAATTGTCTTGGACTTTTACAAACAGTTCATCCCAATTTGATTTGTCACTTGGGTTGGTATATTTGAGAGAAGTCCCTTTCTCTGTTCCAATATAATTAGTATATGGCATCTGCTTTTTGGTAAAAAATAAGTCCCATCAGCAGATTCACTGCAGATACAGAATTGTGTTTAAACAAGTTGAAGACCAAATGGTTTTGCTGGAAACATGTTAATATGTGTCCATCCACTAGAATTGTTTCAGAGCCGTTCTTGGATGCCACAGTTAGAATTAGCTGTGTATGAGTTTCAGTCAGCGTGCATTCTACTTGGATGATACTTAATTATGATTGTAAGTGGTATGCTTTTCCTAAGTACTACCAGATTTGTGATCTTATGGAACTCTCAAGAATTTTGAATGAACCTGGTTGACTTCAGATAGGTGTTGTTGTTGTGATTTGACTTCTGTTTTATACTTTATCATTGGTGGGTCACTAAAACTAATAAGGTAAGACCTTACTTATGCATTGGCAAGAGTTAATTTGATTTAATTTTGTTCTGTTTTGAGGAATCAAAGCTTCTACTTCTAAAGTGTTGGCCAAACATCAGAGACAATTATCTGGTGTATTATGCTTGATATTTTATATTAATATTTCTCAGTTTGGCCTAGATTCTGCGATTTAATCTTCTAATTATGTTTTTCTCAAGACGTATAGTCAAATTTCTGCTCAGAAATGTTTCCAGCTAATTTGGTTTTCTTTTTCCAAAGCTTATGGTATAAACAAGGCATGTTTGAACCTAATTTTTTCTATCAAGGATAGAACAATATGATCATTGCTTTAAGATTGTATGCTTTCTGTTTTAAGGTGTCCCTCCAATAAAAAAATAAAAATTATAGTTTCCAAGTCAAAAGAGGTAATTGTTTTAATATATTTGGTTTAGGTCAACTCAATCTTGAGCACTATGTCTGTTCAGGACACCATGGAAAAGATGCAAAATAGAGCTATAAAGACTAGAACTGAGGGAACTTTGAGAAAGGATGATTGAACGAAGGATATGATAGCACTCTTCAGCCATTCGAGAGGCATCGTAAAGAAAAAGGCTAAGCCCAATTTTCTCTAGTTTCAGAGTATAGGACAGTGATTCTCAACCTTTTTGAAGCTGCCGCCCCCCTAAGGAGCGGAAAATTTTTCAACG